GTGTTGGTGTAGCGAGTGGGCTGTAATGAGGAGTGTTGGTGTAGCGAGTGGGCTGTAATGAGGAGTGTTGGTGTAGCGAGTGGGCTGTAATGTTGAGTGTTGGCGTAGCGAGTGGGTTGTAATGTGGAGTGTCGCTTTATGCGGTGAATCTAATAGCACAGTACTGGACTCCTGTTAGCTTGCATTGGAGGGTTAAACTCTGTGATGGGCCTGATGGTTGAACAATGTAACTCTGGATTTAACAGAGAAGATACAGTATACATTGTGAACTCTGTTGAAAATACAGGACTCCCTGTTAGCTGCTGTGGGGCAGTGTTGAATTTCTAGTCACTGGGATAGTGAGTTTAAATTCAGCTGTTATCTGAACTGACCCATCTCATTTTGATTCAAGTGTTCAATTTTCTTGCATGTGTTCAGCCTGTCTGCAGCAGTTGACCCACAACTTGTACCTGTGCCTTTGGAGTTCTCTCTTAGGATCAAATGCTTATCTGTACTGTCTTCCATCTAGTGGTGTATCACTTATGGCGACATGTCCCAGCCAGAACAGTTAGTTAGAACATCACAAGTGAAAGCTCCATCCTCTCCATGTGTTTTCATTAAGATTGTGGCAAGACTCGAATCAGCTGGAGTGTGAGGAGTTAGTGACAGATTCGCATTAAACTGAGATGGTGGAGGAGGCAGTGTGTGTGGAGAGCGAGAAAGATCACAGGGGATATATCTGGTTCCAACAGTGTCCTCAGGCTGTTTTCTCAGGGAAAGAATCCCATTATTCTCCCAGGTTAGTAGGAAATTAGATTGTGGTTTGGCATGAGCAGGGTTTGAATGCAAGAACACAGAATTCCCCCCAAGTTACTGTAGTTAGGGGATTAGTGACCTTCCACATGTGAAATTCCTCTGGCCTCTTTTCAAAGAACAAAACAAATTCCTCTCGGTGTAGCTGAGCTGAAGGATCTGTCTTCTATCAAGTGAGCAGGAAGGAACGTGTTATTTGTTCCAGATACAAGTCAGAAAGTTCTCAGCAGCAATCAAGGCTCGCCATTTTCCTTTCTTCTGCTAGTTGTTTCAAAGTCAATTAAGCTGTTGCTGCTAATTCTTGCCAGCTTCGGTCAATGTTAAAAGAAGTAATATACATTAAAACTTAATCTGTGTTTCTTGATTGATTGTTTGAAAATGTTATTTTTTTTTCTACTCTGTACAGCGTTTGAATTTTAAAAGCATGGTCATTTCTAAGGATCAAAGCTGTCCCAGGTTTGGAAAACAGTTTTTACATGATGAGGCTGGAATATTTTTAGGAAAATTCACCTCCATCTCTCACCACCACTAGCCAGTCCCCAAGGTATCATTGTCACACAGCTGTAATTCCTTGTTAAAACCGAAATAACTGTGGATGCTGTAAATCAGGAACAAAAACAGAAGTTGTTGGAAAAGTTCAGATGTTCTTGCAGCATCTGTGAAGAAAAGATCGGAGTTAACGTTTTGAGTCCGGTTCCTCAATCGTTCTGAGGAAGGGTCACTGGACCCGAAACGTTAACTCTGATTTTTTCTCCACAGCTGCTGCCAGACCTGCTGAGCTTTTCCAGCAGCTTCTGGTTTTGTTTGTAATCCCTTATTCATTGGTTGTTGTATGATCTGTGAAAGCAATAGTGCATTTGATGAGGTGCAACACAGAAGGTTAAGACACAAGGTACAATCACATTGGCTAGGTGTAATTTATTAGCTTGGATAGAGGAATGGCTAACCCAAGGGAAAGCAGAGAGTCAAGATAAATGGGTCTTTTTCTGATTGGCAAACTGCAACTAGTGGCATGTTGCAGGGTTCAGTCCTCAGGGCCCCAACTCAGGTCGAAGATGATGGTGGAGTAGGATGCTTCAGCCATACCTCATTCACTCTGTCCATTTCTTTATTTTTTAACTCTTTTTTAGTGTTTCTTTTCTCTCTTCTCTTTTCACGGCGACATCCTGAACTCCAGGCCTCAGCGTGGACTCAGCCTCAGCCTCAGCTGAGATGAGATCAGCCATGATCGTATTGAATGGAGGAATAGGCTTGAGGGGCTGAATGGCCTACTCCTGTTCCTATTTTTTATGTGCTTATGTTTACCAGTGAGCAGTTTGACTGGGTGAGCATCACTGCTGGGTGCAATCCTCTGCCTTGCTAATATCTTTGTATATCTTCATGGCCAACATAGTGTCAGTATATCAGTCAGGAGCTGATAACCAAACTGGTAGCTTTTGCACTTTTGTCAATGTAGACCACTTTAAAAGTGCTTGTGAAAACTACGGAAACATTTAGGACAAGGCAGATTTTTGTTTTAGCCACTAAGATCATTCTGGCAATTCTGTTCTGGCTGGAGGAAAATGAACAACAGAGGATGGGACAAATACAGCTGCAAAGGCAGGGGTGGGGGGTTCAGATATAAGTAGGGGTGCTCCTAGGGGCCTTACCATCCCAATAGAGTGGATGGGCCCAGGACAGTACCCTTTCTGGCCTACAGCTGTTGGAGGAAAGAAGAATTTAGTCATTAACAGGTCAGAAAGTGCCGTGAATCAATCACAGGATAAGCAATTGCACGATTTGTGGGACTGAAATCTGCCAAAATTGTCCAAATCTTTGAGCAACAAAGTGGTCAAAAGATGATGGGATTTGGAGACCTGTTGCAGGTAATCTTCACCACCCCATCTCCGACAGTCAAGGACAGAAATCCACTGCCGGTGATCCCGATCCTGGAAAATTAGCCAGGCCCTGTCGTAATGGTGGGCTGCTGAAGCTGCGCTGACATGGTAGGTCAGGGAAAGTATGTGTCATTCCTCTCCATGTATCAATAATGCCATCCTGTGCCTTGGTAACATGGTGTCTGGTAGGAGATTGGTGGCCTTGGTGATTGGGAACAGCGGCTAAGGGAAGGTGTACCAATAGTCTACTTGTTTATTCATTTCTACTTGGATCTTCATAGGAGAACTCTTAGCCAATATAGTCCGTTTCTTCAAAGAAAGATTCTCCCATTCTCTTCAGCCCCCAGTGAAGTTAGACTATGGTTGGTGTGTCATCATCGAATCTCAGGTGAAACCAGTCCGTGGTATTCTGGTGGTCATATGACATTATCTTTAAGCTCATGAACACCCAAATTCAGCACTGATGTAGAAATCGATACTTGAATAGACTCAGTTCCCTCAAACTAATCCTAACTAATCCTAATGAGGCAGGACATCATTACATCATCAATCACCAACTTCCATACATATAACACCTTTAAAACATCGCAGGGCAAGTCACAAACAATACATGATACCAGACCATGTAAGGAGAGATTGTTATATGTCCGAAAGCTTCATTGAAGAGGTAGATTTTAAGGTGCATCTTACAGGAGAAAAGCAAGTAGAGAGCAAGAGTGAGTTAGAGAAGAAGAGTGAGTTAGAGAGGGAATTCATGAGTTTAGGGTCTTGGTGACGAAAAGCATGGTTTCAGTGATAGAGCAATTAAAATTTGGTTTGGGCAAGGGGGCAGAATTAGAGGAGCTCTATTCACTTTAGTTTCCAGTGACTATAGTGCTGTAGGCTTAAAAACTAGATGTGAATGATCTGACTCCCTTGATTGAGGATCTTATAGCAGTGGCTGTTAGCACCTTCTTGCTAACAGGTTCAAATATCAATGTTTACAGCACTGACAATGTTAATGCTTTGCTACAGCATTCCAAAATAAATCCCACTATCCCGTGCTCTCCCATTAGCTCTGTATCCTGCTCTGCTCCAGAAACGCTATCTACTTTGCTCTTAAAATGAGTCTTGTTCTCAACCTTTACAGTTCCCTTTGGCAAAACATTCTGTGCTCCAGTGGCAGTCTGCATGAGAAATTTCTCTCGCTCATTCTTTCGCTCTCAGCAGAAGACACAAATTTGGCCAATATGATGAATTCCTGTAATTGGCTCACATATTTTTAATTCCAGGTCATTGGCTTGAAGAACATTGCCCGAAGAGATCTGAATTTGAATCTACATCCAGGACCTGATGTTAATCTGGCTCCCTGGAGCCCAATTCTTCGATATGGAATAGCAGTATCCATGTGGTTGGCAGTCGGTTTAGTCCAAGTAAGATGGCTTCAGATGCTTTAGTTATTGTGCTGGGGGTCCTGGCAATGATAAATGGATAGCAGTTTTGTCACGGTCATGAAACAAAACTACCAAGAGTTTAAGTTCCTCATTCTCCCACAAACACATTTTTCCCTCCAATGATTGTCATACTGCTGGCAGCTAAAGAGAAGCTTTCCATAAGGAACGATATGATTAGACATAAATGTCCTTAAGAATTTAAACTGTTGGACTCATGACAGAGGACATAGTTTCAGTCAGAACAAAGGAAACTGGGAAGACGAGAAGACTTTGCATTTCAACAATACCTCTTGCAATCTCCGGCCAACCCATGCTCCTTACGCCCAATAAAATACTTTGGAGGTGACGCTGTTGTGATGCAGGCAAACCAGTAGTCAGTTTGCACACAGTAAGATCCCTTAAACAGCGACGTGATGATATCTGAGTAACTGGAAAGCTCCAGTCAGTGTCAACAACATGGTCTAATAGGTCCCTTCAACTGGCTGCTCGTGGGCAGAGAGCCGTCACTGCTAAAGTTTGATGAAACATCACAGACCTGAAATATTAACTGCCGGCTTTCTTTCCCTGCACAGATGGTGCCTGGCCTCTATGTTTCCAGCATCTGCAGTGTTTTGTGTTTTTCTTCGTATGAATCCAGGTTAGGCATACAGCAACCAAAATACTATAGATTATCAAGGTATCATCAACCGATTAGACCCAACCACTGGTTAATGATGTTGACTTTGTGAGAGAGGGTTTCACTTGGGACAGTATAGGCTAGTTTACAACATACTGATGGGCTGTTGTGGTGCAGTTGTACTGTCCCAACCTCTGGGCTAGAAGGGCTGGGATCAAGTCCCATTTGCTGCAAAGACGCCTCGTGTCCATCTGAACAGGCTGAAACTGCTGGGCTGTTGTGGAGCAGCGGTAGTCCCACCTCTGGGTTAGAAGTTTTGTGTTCAAACCCCACTCACTCCAGCGATGTGAAATAACAGATTGATCAACAATATCTACAACAATCTGCTTGTTTCCAGGGGAGATTGCTAATCTAATTTTTGTTCTGCTGTATGACTGAATCTTTTGAAACGATATATGAAGGCTGTTGTGAAACTTCCTTTTTATTGTCAGGAGTATCCAATTAGAGAATTTTTAAAAATCCCAAAACTGTTATCATTATTTTAAATGCGACAGAGACATTTAAACAACATTTGTTGGCTCCATAATAGAGGGTCAGGGTTATTTACAGAGGGTCTGGAAGAGGCAGGAGTTTCTTGAGTAAAAGCAGAGCACTGCAGATGCTGGGATCTTCTGAAGAATCACTGGACTCAAAAGATTAACTCTGTTTCTCTCTCCCCTCATGCTGCCATACATGTTGAGTTTCTCCAGCAATTTCTATTTTCTATTTCCACTGTTTCTTAGAGTTCAAAGCTGAAGGCTGAGAGCTTTGTTGCAGATTTGAAGTTATTTTTGTAAACCTGGCGACATTGTTTTCTGTAAATTGTTCTCATGCTGCAAGTGCGTTTGCCTCTGATAGGCTTTCACCAGATTTTGGACACTTGCATTTGCCCAATGGCGATAAGTAATGGGTTTGCTTGATTTCCATGTTTAGTCATTTTTATTTGGAGGGAAGTGCTGGAGACTGGCACTGCAGGCACCCAGTTATCTGACCCAAATACACCCTGGTGCACCAGTTGTCAGAGAATAGAGTTACAACAGAGCAGTCATGGAGTGTAAAGCACAGAAGTGGCCGTTTGGCCCATCTAGTTTCTGCTCGCCTATCTTCACTAATCCTACTTTCCAGCATTAGGCCCATAGCTTTGAATGTTATGACTTTTCAAGCACTCATCCAAGTACTATTTAAAGGTTATGAGGTTTCCTGCCTTAACTACCCTCAGTGCATTCCAGACTTCACCACCCTCTAGGTGAAAATAAATTTCCTTAAATTGCCTCTAAATTTCCTGCCTTTTGTTTTAAAATTATGCCACCTTATTATTGACCCTTCAGCTGAGGGGAGCAGCTGCTTTCTGTGTACCCTGTCCGTGCCCCTCATAATCTGATACACCTCTATCAGGGCTCCTCTCAGCCTTGTCTGCTTCAAACTGAGCTTATCTAGCCCCTCCTCATGGCCAAATGCACCATCCCAGGAAACATCCTGGTGAATCTCCTGTGCACCCCCTCCAGTGCAATCACATCCTTCCTATAGTACAGTGACCGGAACTGCACGCAGTACTCCAGCTGTGGCCTAAACAAAGTTTTGTACAGCTCCAAAATAACTTCCCTATTCTTATTTAACATGTGACGACTGATAAAAGCATGTGCCCTATGTATCTTCCTGGCCCATTAACTTGACCTGCCTCCCTCAGGGATCAATGGACAAGCAGCTCAAAATTCCTCTGCTCCTCTGAGCTTCCTTGTGTCCTGCCATACATTGAGTACTCCCTTGTCTTGTTAAATAGTCACAAGAAAATTCCTGAGAGTAACCCATAACAAACATCCCTTTGGTTTCTCCCACTCTGCCAGGCTCCTTGCTTCTTGCATCTCTCAGTTTGCACAATGTGTTGGGTAAGGAAATACAGGGGTAGGAGGGACATCTATACCCTCCCCCCAACAAAAAAAGACTTGGAGAACTGAGCATTATCCCTCTAGGCTAGTTAACCAGTTGTTGACCCCTTACTGAAGTTGTTTGGAGCTGAGCAGACTATTCTGCATTGACCAGAGATATTCCAATCTTTCGCAGGTGCTCTTCTGTGTTGGATTCTGTGAACGATTTGTTGAAGATAAGATTCAGCAGTTTGTAGACTTGTGCTCTGTGAGTAATGTGAGTATCACACTTCTCGCTGGCTGTTCCACAAAGTGGCCCAGTTACTGACTGAAAACAAAACAAAACAAATCTTGGCCCTGACACGGTGGGACTGAGCCACACCATCGAAAAATCTCCCTTTGTCTTCACTAAGTTTGCCAGTGTACTGCAATTGATGTTTAATGCTTCTGGGCTCAGGAGAGAAAACTAAAATCAGTCAGAGTACGCAGACCTATCTCTGATTGCTGATCCAGTAAACCCTGCTAACCAGCTTGTGGGTATGGACTTTATGTGCACAGTTAAGACACTTGCTTATCATATTTATTACAACTGATGTTGTGATGTATTCTGGCTATTGTCACACATTTCTTTTAGGGGATGTGATTATCATTGGCAAGGCCAACATTTGTTGCCCATCCCTAAATGCCCCAAAATTGATTGACTTGGGATGTTTTGGAGGGCAGTTAAGAGTCAACCACATTGCTATTGGTCTGGAGTCCCATGTAGGCCAGACCAAATATTGATGGCAGATTTCCTTCCCTAAAAGGGACATTAGTCCATTAGAAATCACTGATATTTGCAACAAGCAATTCATAGTCATGATTAATGAGACTGGCACTTAGTTCACATTTGTTAATTGAATTTAATATCCACCCCCGGCTGCTGTGATTTGAGGCCCTGGATGTGAACCTGAGACTGGGTCTTGGGATTACTGGTCTCGGGATTTTCCCACTGTGCTGCTGCCATCTCCTTGGTCTTGTGTCCAGACTCCTAGTCCAAACCAAAGTGAGAGTACAGATTACAGAGTCTGATTCCACACTGGGGAAGCAATGGCCATTAGACAGCGGGTCTGGAATGCAGTCACTGCCAGAGGGCTACACCTGAACAGAACATGGGCCTTCCAGACAACTTGCAGATGTCTCTGAGCTTTCTACAGCCAATAAAGTGCTTTTTGAAGTATTGATTCTATTGTGGTATAAGATATCCGGTAGCCAATTTGTATGAAGCCAAACTGCTACAAACAGCAATGTGTTAACAACCAGCTAATCTGCTCTTCGATGTTGATTGAGGGATAAGTTTGGTTGGGTGTTTAGAGATAATTTCCCACTGTTCTTTGAAACAGTGTCAGGGGATCTTTTACATCTACCCCGAGTGGGCAAATGGGGCCTTAGTGTAATATTTCATCCTAAAGATGCCACCTCCAATTGTGCAGTGCTCCCTCAGTCCAGCAGCAGAGTGTTAATCTGGAAGTTTTTGCTGGAGCATTGGGCTGGGGCTCTGTCCCAGAACACTGAGACTCCAAGAAAAGTGTTACTACCAACTGAGCCACAATTGTGCAATAATCTCAGGAAAGTCACCTCTAAACTCATGCCACCTATGATGACTAACCAAAGAGCTATACAGAAGAGCTGTGATTTAAAAGAGCTAATTTTATTTTCTGTTTCCTCTTAAATCACTTTCCAGTATGACCTGTTCCTCACCTCATTTTGCATTTCGCTTCTGACCCTTTACATCTTTCGCAAGTAACTTGGTGTTGGATGGAACTGACCCAGTATGATTGTCACCATGTGATTTTTGTCAAAGTTCACTGAAAGAAATTGAGTTTGGAGTGGAAATATTAACATTGTTTTCTTTTGTATCAAGTGTAAATAACATTCTGCAAATAAATTCCACCCAGGTATCAGTCTTGGTCTTACTGCACAGGTGTTATGGCTACTACATCCATGGACGGTCTGTACATGGACAAGCTGACATTGGTATGGAGTCGATGTATCTCAATCTCAAGAAGGAAGAGGTAATCAGATTTTGTGATACGTGGGATAGATCAATCTTAAATAATTGTAATTTTCCATCAAATGAGAACATTAAAAAGTTAGGAATTAGAGTAGGATGTATAGTGTCTTGTGTTTCTCCCTCCATTTAATGAAATCATGGCTGAGTCATTATCTTAACTCCACTTTCCCACCTTATTTTTTGTAACCCTTGAATTTCCTTTGAACATATCCCTCTCAGACCTGTTGGAACCAGGGACTAGGTTGTGACTGGCTAGGCCAGCATTTAATGTCTATCTCAGAGGGTAATTAACTACATTGAGATTTGGATTGTTGGTAGGTCTGGAGTCACATGTAGTCCAGACCAGGTAAGGTTTCCTTCCCTAAAGGACATTAATGAACCAGATAGGTTTTTTCTGACAATTGACAATGGTTTCATTGTCATTATCAGTCTCTTAATTCCAGACTTTTTTCTATTGAATTCAGATTCCACCACCTGCCTTGGCAGGATTTGAACCTGTGTCTGTAAAACCTGGGTCTATGGATTAACAGCCCAGCAATAATACCAATAGGCCATAGCCTCCCCAAGGCAAATGTGTACGCGCAGCCCTTTGGGGTAGAGAATTCCAAAGGTTCACCATCTTCTTAGTGAAGAAATCTATCCTCATCTCCATTATTCAAAAACTACGATCCCTAGTTCTAGACTGTTCGCTGGGAAAGAGGGAGAAATGTTCTTGCTGTGCCTGTATGGTTCTTTGAGTGCTTGTCTGCAGGGATTACAGGAAATCAATCCTGGAGGAAATCGAAATCAAGTACATTTATTCTTTTCCTTCACCTTCAAGGGACAAAAGGTTTGTACATTCAAGAATATGCTTTTTCCAGACAGAATTTCCTGAACTTGCTGTATCCAGGGGATCCAATGGAGCCAGGTGCAGAAACATCAACATCTGATGAAATGGGAGACAGTAGAAAAAGACACGGATTTGTTATTCAACAGGTGGCCATTCGCTCTATCAACTTGTGTGCCAGCTAGTGGTTGCACAATGGAAAGAAAATTAATACAGTCAATGTGATCTTGGAGGGTCGAGGGAGGTTATTGTTAAAGAAAGGTCAGAAACAATCTGACTAACAATGTTTTGTAAATGTTCACTTTTTACAGGATAACCTTTGTGCAATGAGAGGTCTTGAGCCCAACATGGATGTCCAGACTTTTGAGGTGTTAATTTCTAACAAGGTCAGACAACAATATGATCGGATACTATCGCCGCTGAATGAGGTACTTCAAGTTTTGTTAATAGCTCTGTTTCAGGAATGTCCGATTTTAATTGTTTTAAAAATGTAATGTTTGGCCTCACTGTGGTTGAAGCAGTGTTTTCTTATTCAAATCCCTACAGTGTGGGGGCAAGCCATACCGACCATCTGAAGAGCAGCCCACCCAGATACACCCTATCCCCAAAACCTGCTTATCTTTGGATTGTGGGAAGAAACAGGAGCACCCAGAGCAAATTCACACAGACATGGGGAGAATTTGCAAACTCCACACAGACAGTAGCCTGAGAATGGAGTCGAACCCCAGACCCTGGCCCTGTAAGGCAGCAGTGCTAATCACTGTGCCGCCCCAGTTATTTTTGGTAGCTTGGACTGTATGTTGCTTGTCCTGCACTTTAACGAATGTGTAGTGATTGTGACAAGATCAGCCAGCTGGACCTCATGGAATATGAGTTCCCTGATTGGGGCTGTTAATCTGGCCCAATCAAGGAGCCCTGGCTGACAGATAAAAACAGGAATATCAGAGGTTCTGCTCACTCTGAGAGCTGGATCTGAGGGAGCTGGACCAATTGGAGAGTCAAGAACTGTCCACATGTAAATAAAAGGTGACTGGGTGATGGGATACCGGTCTCTGTGGAGTTATTTTAGAGTGTGTCTTGAGTTGTCTAGGTCCAAAGCTCTGAAATTCCCTCTGTAATCCTTTCCAGTTTTTTATCGCTCTTCCACATAAGAACAAACGTTAAATCCTGCTCTTTCCAGACTCTTCATGATTTTGAACACCTCAAACACAATGCATCGCTACCTTCTCTAAGCAGGACAGTCCTGGCTTCTGAAAACTATCAAAATAGCTGAACTCCCTCACCAGGGGAACCATTCTTGTCAATGCTTTTGCACACTGTCTAAAACTTTCACATCCTTCTCCAAGTATGGGGCCCATAATTAGTCGCAATACTCCAGCTGAGGCTGAACCAGTGTTTTATAAACTTTCACTACACGTCATCTGCTTTTGTGCTGTATGTCTCCATTTATAAAGCCTGCATCCTCCTCACAGTTCACAACACGATTCTGGATTCTGAACAAAGACACAGGACTCATATGTTGAAATTGTGCCTTTCACACCCAAGTCTAAATTTATAATTTATGTCATAAGAAACAGTGCTCCTTATCCTAACACCTGAGGATGCCACCATATACCTCCGAGAAAAACAATTGTTCACCATTCCTCTCTGTTTCCTGTTTGTCAACTTCATATCGCTCCTATTTATTTCATGTGATTCATCTTTGCTGACAAGCCTTTTCTGTGGCACTTTTTTATCAATTGGCTTTCATTTCAAAGACCATTTACATCACATCCACCATGTGTGTTTTGTGTCAGTGTGTGTTTTGTCTGTGTGTGCGCGTTTTTGTGTGTTTTGTTTTGGTATGTATCTGTGTGTTCTGTGCATGTGTGTGTAGTGTCTGTGTGTTGTGTGCATGCGGTATGTGCATGCGTACGCCAAAAATGTCCTGACCTCTGTTTCTGACCTTCAAAATGAAAATCATGCCCTGAAGGTAAAAATAAGAATTTACCAGAGCTGCAAGATTATATAAGATGGATAAGGCTCTGTAGAAAATGAAAGACTGAGTGATGGTATATTGGATACATTAAAGATTTTGATAGCATTGCGAAGATGTTTACCCTTGAAGATATAAATGTATGGTGGTCACTAATAAATTCAACAGGGAATTCAGACAAAATTCATTATCAACAGAAATGGCCAAATGTAGAACTTACTACGACAGGGAGCAGCTGAGGAAGAGAGTCTGAGATAAGGTACAGTTCATGAGGTTAAATAAAGAAGATTGAGAGAACATTTGTGAGCAGCATAAAGACCAGCAGAGAGCTGTTGAACCAAATGCTATCATCTTTGACATGGACTTAAATCTGATGTGGAATGTGGCCTTGATATTGAGCCCTCAGTTTGTTTTCTTCTTTATCCTTGAAGGCAGCAAGAGGAAATCGAAGCATTCATGAGGGTTCAGCCACCCTGCAGCAGAATCTGAAAGCCTACTACACCATGAATAAGTTCCTTTCATCCTTCCTTGAACATGTGAGCTGGTGCCTTTCATTTGTTTTTTGCCTGAAGTGAGAGTGGGATATTTAGCTACTGTGTGGGTTGCTGTGGGACTATGTAGCCTCTGGGATAAAAGAACATTAGAACTTTGTTCAAAAACAAAGTTGCTGGAAAAGCTCAGCAGGTCTGGCAGCACCTGTGGAGGAGAAAACAGAGTTAACGTTTCGGGTCCGGTGACCCTTCCTCAGAACAGTTCCCTGAGTTCTGAGGAAGGGTCACTGGATCCGAAACGTTAACTCTGTTTTCTCCTCCACAGGTGCTGCCAGACCTGCTGAGCTTTTCCAGCAACTTTGTTTTTGTTCCTGATTTACAGCATCCGCAGTTCTTTTGGTTTTTATTAGAAGTTTGTTGACTATGTAGTGTGAAATCAAGAGGAAACACCCCTGGGGCACCGTATGGGATGTACAGAATGAACACACTGCCCTTTCACCTGGCAATTCCATTTTACTTCATGCAGGTAGAAGACCTGAATTCTGTTGAGTATGTTAGTTTAAGTTAGTGTATATTGTGATAAGAGCAATTGTATTACAGCGCAGTCCACTCTCAGTTAATCTAATTGCAAAGAACACTTAAGTAATTTAATTTTAAATTATTTAAATGTTGTCTTTTTTGATCCTTTAAAACAGATTTTAGGCATTTTCCCCCCTCTCAGGGAGGTTTGAGAGTCTTTGGAACTGTCTTTTGCAAAGGTGGTGGAAACAGAATCCTTGAATATTTTTAAGGACGAGGTGGATGGATTCCTGTTAAGTGAGGAGATAAAAGATTATCCGGGAATGACAGGAATGTTAGATTGAGGTTACAATCAGATCAGTCATGATCTTATTAATTAGCAGTTATGGGTTCGAAGGGCCAAATGGCCTACTCCTGCACCTTATCTATATTTTGGTATCACACCAATCCCATTATTTGACCAACAAGGCTAGCAATTAATATGCTACTTTTACCACTTAAGTGCCTTTTTGCATTTGTGTCTCAAACAGCAGTGAATTAGTTTCTCTGCACTCCAAAAGTATCTGTTTTTATTGATGTTGGTTGAGGGATTAAGTGTTATCCATATCTCCTGCAGGACTCCCTCGCTCTTCTTTAAAATACTATTCTGAGCTCTTTTACTTCCACCTGAGAGGAAAGACAGGGCTTTGGTTTAGTGACTCACCCGAAAGACAGCACCTTGGACAGTGCAGCACTCCCTCAGCCACGCAATGGAATGCCAGTTTGAGTTACAGTATTGTATTCAGGTTGCTGGGGTTGGGTGTAAACACAGCAGCCAGTCAATACCAGAAATATCCCTTAAACAACATGGGATTAAATAATGAGCAGTCTTGAATTTGGTGCCATTGCTCATTCATGAGGAGAACATTTTATGTCTAGCAGTGTCACAGGATTTCTCATCAGTTTTTATAGCAATCAATAGTGGTTACATGTTCATCATTAGATGAGCTTTTGATTCCAGATTTTAATTGGGTTCAAATTTCACCATCTGCTACAGAACATTATGCTGGGGCCTGGATGACTAGTCCAGTGACATTACCACCTCCGCTTTGATATATGGTCCACTTAATGCTACACTGGGGATCAGCCCATTTTATAAACGTAAACCCTGATACAAGACTTGAAGCAATAATCTTCTAATCAGTGGTTCATTCAGCAGGTTTATTAAATGCTTGGCTGAACTCAGCTACAAGTTCTAAGTTCTAAAGTCACAAGTTCCAAAGAGGTCGGGGTTCACTTTCCAGTCTGCGCTGATTCGATCTGTTCCTTTTAGGAGAGACATAACAATTGGTCTCTGAGTAAATATAAAGCAGGCATGATAAACCCAACAAGGAAGACAGGAGAACTTTGTGTATCCTCGGAATGGTCAAAATGTGGACCTCATTCCGACACAGAGCAGCAAGTGTTAAGTGGAAAGGAATGAGCCTGAATCTTTTTTGTTTTGTTTTTAAGCTAGTGATTCAGCAATGTATTAGTAATATTTACTCAATAGAGAGCATGTGATCAAATCTTACCATGGCAGTTTTGTGAATTTGAATTCAAATCTTAATGGAACTAGCATCAGTAACTGTTGTATATAGATAGGCATTGTTTCCAGACCAGACTATATTGTTACATGACATCATGACATGTAATGTTGCAGTATAAAGGTGTCTCTCTCACCTTTAGATGCTGCCTTTCTATAATGGAGTCAGTGTGGTGTGTTTAGTCAGCTTATGTTCGTGTAATGTAGAGTAACATCAGTAAGTACTGAACCCAGACTGTGTAAATGTGCAATATTACAGATGTGTAAATAATTAGTGTTGTAAATAAACTTCAAGACATCAGTTTCAACACGAACCCGCCGTTTTGTGGTATAAATTTTGTAAACGCTTTGGAGAGGTGCAACAGAGAAATTTACCAGGATGTTGCCTGAATTGGAGTGTATTAGCTATAAGGAGAAGTTGGACATACCTGAATTGTTTTTGCTAGCGCATCAGAGGCAGAGGGTGGACCTGATAGAAGAATATAAACTAATGAGAGGCATGGATAGGTTGGATATTTGGTGTCTTTTTCCCAGAACGGAAATGTCAAATACAAGGGGGCATAGGTTTAAGGTGAGGGGGGAAAGTTTAAAGGAGATGTATAAAGCAGGTTTTTTATACAGAAGCTGGTAGGTGTCTGGAACGCACTGCCAGAGGAGGTGGTACAAGCAGATTCATTAGCAATATTTAAGAGACGTTCAGAAAAACACATAAATAGGCAGGGAATAGAGGAATATGGACCGTGTGCAGGCAGATGGGATTAGTATAGAATAGCATCACGGTTGGCATAGACATGGTGGCCAAAGGGCCTGTTCCTGTGCTGTATTGTTCTATGTTCTATGTGAACTAACATGTGGAAAATCACAAGGCACACAACAGTAACAATGACCATTAAAGTGTCAGATTGTCTTTAAACAAAAATCCAACAGATTCACTAATGCCCTTTAGGGACGGAAACTAGCTGTCTTTACTTGGCTGTGCTGTGTGTTAACATTCACAAGGAAATTCACAGTTTCCTCTGAGGCACCTGAAGGGAAGATGCAGTTCTGTTCTGAGAGATGTGGAGGGTGTCAAATTGGTGAGCGAAAGTACAGATGACCATTCAACCTTTTACCTTTACCAAGCAAAAACTCAAAAACCAAGTTTTCATTCTGAAATAACAGATCATCTGACAGGAAAGGTTTTAACATTAACAAAGAGTTAAAATACTTTTGTAAAACTGGTTGAAATGAATGCATTTGTGCAACTGTCCTACTGTCTCTGCTGTCCAAAACAACAAGAATCTATTCCAAAAGCTTCAATCCGACCAGTCAATCCAACATTCCAAACAACAGGGAGACCCGTGCACTCTGTAGTGGGAGAGAGATATTTCTGAAGTGGCATACTTGCAGGGTCAGAGAGAGGGCTCTGGAGGAAATGTGCTTTTAATATTTTGCTTGACAACAGCTGGGACCCTGGGTGTGGTTTGTTGAACTCTATCAGTAAAAATAGAAGCCTGGTTTGAAACCACAAAAAATAACTTGTCAAAAAAGCAGAATCTTAAAGAGTCTGCTCCAATCTGAACTATTTTTTGCTAATTTTCTTTTGCATAATCTGTTTAAATTTGTATTTCTTTCCTCCTGTTCTGTCAATTTTATTTTCGTTCCTTCTCCTAATGCCTCACCTTTGCTGTATTGTAATTCCCAGTTTTGCTTGGAACCGTTAACTAGATTTACTGGGAACTGTTAACTGAGATTTAGGAATGATTAGCATGCTCAAATTTTCCTCTTCATAAAATCAGTGTGAAGCAGGCCATTCAGCCCATCAAGTCCACACCAGCCCTTTGAAAAGCATCCCACCCAGACCCACCTGTGTACCCTATCTCTACAACCCTGCATTTCCCGTGACTAATCCACCCAGGTTACACGTCCCTGAACACTATGAGCAATTTAGCATGGCCAATCCACCTAGCCTGCACGTCTTTGGACTGTGGGAGGAACCGCACACAGATACAGGAGAATGTGCAAACTCCACATACACAGTCACCTGAACATGGAATTGAACCTGGGTTCCTGGTGCTGTGAGGCAGCAGCGCTAACCACTGAGCCACTTTACTGCCTTTCTCTTTTAAGAGTATAACTTTACCTCTTTTTGGTGACCTCCCCTCCTCATCGTCTGAGATAAGGAAGCACTTGGGAAGTTGGTGTTGCAGTGTTAAAAACTCGGCGAGTGGTGGAAGAGGTGTATCCATGTAAAGTGCCGTTCTTTGAGCTATTGCCACCAGAGGTTGAAGAGCAGCTTGCCCGTGAGATCTTGACTATCTGGTTTTAAATGGTTGGCCAAAGTCCCAGTCTGTCCATTAGCTGCTGTGGCCCCCACCATGTCATCAGCACATGACCTCAATTGCCTCAAATCTCTGCAAACTGTACTCCTGACTTTACACAGTACTTACGCTGACCCATTTTCTTGTCCAGTCCCCATTTACTGGTCCTAGGCTAGTAAGTTGCTAAAATAATATCTGGCACTTATTAAAATTTGTCTATGCATTTATTGCCCATCCCCAATTGCCCAGAAGGCAGTTAAGTGTCAACTGTAATTGCTGTGGATGCAGAGTCACATATGAGCCAGACCAGATAAAGATAGCAGATTTCCTTCTCTCAGAGACATTGATGAACCAGATGGGTTTTCACAAAAATTAACAACAGGAACATGGATGCCAGTATGTTATGTTTTTATTCCAGATTTTTATTGAATTCAAATGTCACCATGGTGGGATTTGAACCCAGGTCCCTAAAATATTAACCCAAGGTTCTGTATGATTAATCCAGTGGTGATGCTGCTGATGGACCACAACCCCCCCACCCCCCAAACATACAGAGGATGTGAGGGAAGTGTTGTATTGTTGGATGAGATATTAAACTGAGGCATTACCTATCGAGAAAAATGCATGCAGTCAATCCCTTGGTGTTATTTGAAGAGAAGCAAGTCTTCCTGACACCCTGGTCAAACTTCAACTGATGCCACCAAATGCAGATTCAGTGGTCATTGATTTACTCAGGATTTATGGGATCTGACTGTGCACACACACAGCTGGTGTATTTGCCAACAAAACAACGGTGATTGGACTTCAAAGGTAAGTCATTTGGGGTCAAGCAGTTTGCAATGTCTAGTTGAGATGAGGTACCCAGTGAATGTTTACCATTTGTTGATATGCAAACTATTCTCGACATTAACAATCTTACAGAGTGCTCTTTGTGCAGGCCTACAAAGATATGGACTATGTAGTCAAGGAAAAACTCTTTCTGGAGAGAATTTTGGACTTTGAGTTTCAACGTTCAGACGATCGGAGTTTCTTTTACAATGGTAAGAGCAGCATGTTTTCCTGTGTTTCCCTGACTGGCTCTGTTCAGCTTTGCAGCAACCAGATTTAACACATGTTGGCAGCATTTGCTGCAGTTTGAATTTGGCCAAAGAGTGTCCCTGCAGCAGTCATACAAAGTTCAGGGCAGTGTTTAATATGATTAGGAGAGATTACTCACCACATGAGACAACCTGTCAAAATCTAAATGTAGCTCTTTGCCTGGACTGATAGAGCCAAAATCAGGCCTGTGTAATACATGTTGCTATTTTGGTGAAATCTGCTGAGAATTGTTGTTTTACATCCATTATCTCAAGTTTCATCACAAAAACGCACATTTCCATTTGTAACATTAGAATTTTGTGGAGTGTCCCAATATGGAGAAGACATCTTGTAGCACAGCAGTAGATAGCATCTCTGCTTTGTGAGTTAGATAGTCCTGGAGTCAGGTCCTGCACCAGGACCCAGCAGTGAAGAAATGTTGGCAGGCATGCAGGTCAATGATCAACCTGCAAATCCTTCCAACAAGATAAGAGCAGGGGAGAGGGTGGCACGATGGCTCAGTGTTAGCACTGCTGCCTCAAAATGCCAGCGACCCAGGTTTGATTCCACCTTTGGGTGACTGTCTGTGTGGAGTTTGCACATTCTCCCCGTGTCTGCGTGGGTTTCCACCGGGTGCTCCGGTTTCCTCCCACAGTCCAAAGATGTGCAGGTTAGTTGGATTAGCCTTGGTGAATTGCCCATAGTGTCCAGGGATGTGTAAGCTGGGTGGGTTAGCCATGGGGAATGCAGGGCTACAGGACTAGGGTAGGGGGCAGGGTCTGGGTGGGATGCTGTTCAGAGGGTTGGTGTAAACTGAATGGGCTGAAAGGCCTGCTTCCACACTCTAGGGATTCTAAGAGATTCTTGGCCAGCCATGCACCCATAGACATTATCCATGTGATGCAAAGACTGTTGGAATCTCTGCTATTGCTGTCCTTAGCTCTAGACAACATCATGCATGTACAAGTGCAGTTTGCCACAGCAACCTGAACTCCATGAGTGAGTTGTAACACAACATTGCGGAGGGGAAGCAAACCAAAATTTGGGTGGAAAATTAGGAAGATTCCAATGAATTACTGGACCTGTATTTCTCATTTTCAGGGTAATTGTTCCCTTGTCGGGAGCCTTTTTGCTGGCATCTGCTGAGCTTGAAATATAACATGTAAATGGTCTCTTCCACCTTCCTCGAACTGTCATTGTATCCGTCACAATTCTCCTCTTCGCTAGGTTTTCAGTAATGCTCATAGAATGGGAAATCAGTTTTGTTATTTTGAGTCATAGAGTCATACAACACGGAAACAGACCCTTCGGTCCAACCAGTCCATGCTGACCATAATCCCAAACTAAATCAGTCATACCTGCCTGCACTTGGCCCTTGTCCTTCCAAACATTTTCTTATGCACGTACTTACCCAAATGTCTTTTAAACGTTGTAACTCTATCTGCATCCGCTATTTCCTGCAGAAGTACATTCCACACATGAATCACTCTCTATGTAAAAAAGTTGCCCCTCATGTCTTGTTTAAATCTTTCTCCTCTCACCTTAAAAAATACCCCCTAGTCTTGAAATCCCCCAACCCTAGGGAAAAGACACCTACCATTAACCCCATCCTACTTTATGAGTTTATAAACCTCTATAAGGTCACGCCTCAACCTTCTACACTTCAGTGAAAAATGTCCCAGACTCTCTTCCCTTTGCAACCATTGTGTATTGTGCAACGCTTGACCTTCTTACAAAGTTAATCCAAAACAATATGACAGGTGGGAGAAAAGCGAATGTTGGACTGAGCTGATCCACATCCTGATGACTGGAGCATCATTGCTGAACACTTTGCCCAGTCCTACAGTTCCCTCTTCCCTAAGCCCTGCAACCTCCAGGCAGGCAGTTTTGGTATCTTTTTCTGAGGAAGAATGCTCTTGCTGTCAAGGGAATGCAGCAAAGATTTACCAGGTTGATCCCAGGGATGGCAGGCCTGATGTATGAGGAGAGATTGACACGTTTAGGATTGTTTTTGCTGGAGTTCGGATGAATGAGGAGGGATCTTATAGAGAGTTATAAAAAACTTACAGGACTGGACAGGGTAGATGCAGGGAGGATGCTCCCGCTGGTGGCTGTGTCCAGAACCAGGGGTCACAGTATGGGGGTTTGGGATAGATCATTTAGGATGGAGATAAGGAGACATTTCTTCACCCAAAGAGTGGTGAGCCTGTGGAATTCGTTACCACAGGAAGTGGTTGATGCCAAAACATTGAATGTATTCAAGAGGTGACTAGATATAGCACTTGGGATGAATGGGATCAAAGGTTACGGGAGAAAGCAGGATTAGGCTATTGAGTTGGACGATCAGCCATGATTGTGAAGAATGACAGAGCAGGCTCGAAGGGCCGATTGGCCTCCTCCTGTTCCTATCTTCTGTGTTTCTATGTAAATCTCTCCACTCTCCGCTCCTTTAAGACATTCCTCAAAACCTACCTGTTTGACTAAAGTTAAGACCTCTGCCCTCAGATTCCCTTATGTAACCCAGCCCTAAATTCAGTCTGGCTTTCCCTCCCATGATGCAGGTAGGTTTTACTGTAACTTGTAAAAGCTAATTGTTTTTTTCTGAGCCAAAGTCTGCCTGGCTCTCTCTTGAACGTGCACTGATTGTATTTGCTTCAGGTGCCTTGCCAGACATTCTATTGCAGGGAATCACCACCTTCATGTTAAACTGGAACAGTCTGTTCACCTTGATCCATCCTGAATGGGAGTCCATAACTCCTGCTGTTTGTGAGCATGTCTGTCTATTTGTACAACCTTCCCATCCTGTTTTTACAACTGTAGAAATGCCCGAAGCCAGCCAACAAAACGCCTAATGTGAGAGTTTCCGACTTGGTACGCGAGGCTCAATTGTTTTCCAATCTCGTTGTTTTCAGATGACCGGACCCTCTTCAGCAATGTTCTTTATTATGGCCATGAGTTGGTCCTGCTGTTGTTTGATATTCTGCTCTTCTCTGTCGTGGATCTGGGCACCCAGGACTTTGTGCTGGCAACAATCATCACTTATCTTGTACAGAAGGTAAGTGACAGCGATTGAACACTAATCTGAATTATGTCAGGACCTTGGATTTCTGCTGTTACGACAAACATAACAGCAGCAGTGAAGACAAGGCGCTTGACTCCACCTAGCCTGTCTCCACACTTTATGACACAATATATATATTCCCCATCTCACCCAAAACCACCAGCAAAGGTGAAAACCAGATTGAAAACCGCAATTAGGGGCGTGAGAACATCTCAGAAATTTGACTCTGCAAAGCCCCCCCACCACCTTTTTATTCAGGGTATCACTCTGATCCTGATTGTTATCTAGCTTTTGTACCAAGGTTTTGCTTTAAATGTGAAGAAAGAGGAGTATACGGACATGAATAGCCCATTCAGCCCTTCAGAATTGCTATGCCTTTCAGTCACACGATGACTGCATTGTACCTTCACACCTTTGCCATAGGTTCCTCTGTGCTCTTACCTTACAAAGATTGACCTAACTAAGACTTGAAAGTTCCAAGCATCCCTCCATCCAAATCCTTATAAAGAAGAAGGTTCTAAATTTCTACCACTCTCTTAAGGAAAATGTACTTCCCAATTTCACTCTTAAATGGCCTCACTAATTTTAAGATGTCCATGTGATTTTGAAATTCCCTCACCAAATTGAATAATCGTTTTTCCACATCGCCCTCCTCAAATCCTTTAAAGATTTTAAACACCTCAATCTGATCACCCGTCAGTCAGCTCGACTCCAAAGATTGCAAACAAAGTTTAGGCAATGCGTTCTCATAATGTACTCCTCCAGGTTTTTGGCATAATCCTGGTGAGTGTACATTGCACCACCCTTGCATCCAAAGTCAGTCTGTCCTGAGGTGAGGTTCTCAATACTGAACACACATGGCTGTGAACGACTGAAAGTTAGCATTCTCCCTTTAATATTCCAAGGGCCAACGCCCACGTCCAGTCATGACACAAAAGTTTCTTCTGATGTCACAGCAAAGTCAGGCCAATATTGTGTTTGGAATCATTGAAGGAAGCTTGCATCCATGTGATGTTTGAGTTCCCAGTTTCTAATGCACACACTCTCTAACACTGCTACACAGGTAGAGCTCCCTCACCCACACCCTCGAGATTCCTGCTTCTCACTGTTTTAACAGTTTTAGTTCAGAGTGAGTCAGCAAACTGATCGAGCAGGATTATTAAAATGAAAGCCTTTTTGCATCATTGAGCATGAGATCCATCTGATTACAAGCATGTTTGAGACAGGCTACAGTCGCTAGCAGTCTGATGGTGTGCCAGTGAGGTACAATGTGCAACATGACAGGATGCGATGCAGTATCACATGATCTTGCTGACTCTTGCAGCCTTGTGGCAAGATGGAGCCAAAGGAGGATGCTTTGTAAAAGAAATTGATGTTTTACTTCCCTGAGCAGATTCTGTAGCACAACAAGACCAAGAGTTTTGCCCTTCTGTGGGTACCACCCTTGCCTCTGAGTCGGAAATTTGTGTGTTCCAATCTTATGCACAAAATCTTAGCTGACAATTCCAGTATTGTGGGCTTGCTGCTCTGGTGCAGCCTTTCAAATGAGATGTTAAACTGAAACTCCATCAGCCTGACATCTGCCCTTTCAGATGGACATTCAAATATGCTATGGCACTATACAAAGGAAGAGTACGGGAATCCTCCTTGGTAAGCAGATTTGTTTTTAAATTGGATTAGAGTCCATTGAGTGTAGGAGTTGGGATGTCATGTTGCAGCTATACAGGACGTTGGTGGGGCCACATTTGGAGTACTGTGTGCAGTTCTGGTTGCCCTCCTGTAAGAAGGATGTTATTACTTTGGACAGGGTGCTGAAAAGATTTACAAGCATGTTATTGAGACTGGAAGGTTTGAGTTATAGGGAGAGGCTGGATGGGCGGGGACTTTTTTAACTGGAACATAGGAGTTTGAGGTTTATAACATCATGAGGGTCATAGATAAGGTGAAAAGCAAATGTCTTTCCCTAGGGTTCGTCGTCACTATAGTGGTTAGTATCCCTGCCTGTCACATAGGAGACTAGGGTTTAATTCCCTGCTGGGAAGAGTCCAAGCATTGGGCGGCAAGGTGGCTCAGTGGTTAGCACTTCTGCCTCACAGTACTAGGGACCTGGGTTCGATTCCACCCTCAGGCGACTACCTGGTGGAGTTTGCACATTCTCCCTGTGTCTGCGTGGGTTTCCTCCCACAGTCCAAAGACATGTAAGTTAGGCAGATTGATCATGCTAAATTGCCTTGTAGTGTCCAGGGATGTGTATCTGGGTGAGACATGGGAAATGCAGGATTACTGGAATGGGATGGGTCTGGGTGGGATGCTCTTCAGAGGCCCAGTGTTGGGCCAAATGGCCTGTTTCCATACTGTAGGGATTCTATGGAAATTCTGTTCAATTCTATGAAAGTTCAAAGCTAGAGGGCATAATTTTTAAGGTGAGAGGAGAAAGATTTAAAAGGAACCTGAGGGGCAAATTTTTCACACAGAAAGTGGTTTGTGTGTGGAATGAACTGCCAGAAAAAGTAGTAGATGTAGGTACAGTTACAACATTTAAAAGACATTTGGACAGGTACATGAATAGGAAAGGTTTAGAGGGATATGGGCCGAACGCAGACAAATGGGACTAATTTAGTTTGGGAAACTTGGCTGGCATGGATAAGTTGGATGGAAGGGTCTGTGCCCATGCTGTATGACTCTATGACTCCTTGAGTATTAATCCCTTGAGCAACCTCATTAAAACAAATTGCCTACTCATTATTTCACTGATGTTTGTGGGAGCTCACTGTGTACACAACTGGTCGCTTTACATTTCTTGAGTTGCAGTTCACAAACACCTCATTGGCTGTAAAAAAAACTTTGGGAAACCCTGAAGGTGTGGAGGGTGCTATACAAATGCAAATTGCAAATAACTCTTGTTCCACTCAGGCAGCTCAGAACTCATTACAAGTTCATTTTAAACCAGAATGCATGTCTTTATTTTTGTTTCTTATGTCATCAGATTCTGGAATCAGTAAGGAAAACAATTTCAAGAAGGAACCTGGCTGCGAAGACACTAGTAGATGAAAGATTTCTTATCTAGAGTGTCGTTACCTTAATGTTACCTTGTGGATAGAAACATTTTAATCCCAATTGTACTCAAACGAGTGTGCATTTATTTGGAGACCAATAAACTGATGTATCGGATCCTATGTTTAATACCAAAGTTGCGTTTGAATAAAAACCGAAAGAACTGTGGATACTGTAAATCAGAAACAAAAATAGAAGTTGCTGGAAAAGCTCAGCAGGACTAGCAGTATCTGTGAAGAGAAATCAGAGTTAACGTTTTGGGTCTGGTGACCCTACGTCAGAACTGGGAAGTTCACTACCCTACCAGAGTGTTCAAAAATGGCCTTGATGTGGGATGAGGCTGATAAACTGGCAGCCTGGCTTTTGGAAATTGTTAACCCATCTGTCTCTCTCTCCAATCCTGCCTCTGTTACCATTTGAACATTTTATACCTGGTGTCATATCAGTCTGTTCAAGACCAACATATAAAACTGCAGCCTTGCTGGACAGGGGCTAGCTGTTCCCTAACAGTTCAAGACAACGCAGTGTCGCAAATACATAATTGTCTCGATGAGGATGTCTCTGTGGCTTCATGAATTTTGTCAATGTGACAGATCACTCACAGGAAATCCTTCTCAGCTGAGGCTGAATCAGGAGGGATCATAGAATCCCTACAGTGTGGAAGCAGGCCATTCAGCCCATTGAGTCCACACTGACCCTCCAAGGAGCATCCCACCCAGACCCACCTCACTACCCTATCCCTGTAACCCTGCATATCCCACAGCTGATCCACCTAGCCTATACATCCCTTGACACTATGGCTAATCCACCTAACCTGCACATCTTTGGACTATGGGAGGAAACCGGAGCACCCGGAGGAAACCCCACACAGACATGGGGAGACTATGCAAACTCCACACACATTCGACCAAGAGTGGAATCTAACCCAGGTCCCTGGTGCTGTGAGGCAGTGGTACTAACCACTGAGCCACTGTGCTGCCTCAGAGGAAGCTCTGAGAAAAAACAAGGGCACCCCTGAGGGAGATGATGGTGTGAAAGTGGAAGTTGCTGTAACACCAGAGACTCACATTTCAGAGCAATGAGTGATGGTGAGCTTAACTACTGGTGATATGGTGATTGTGTTACTGTAAGAGTATTTCAGATTCCCAGGGAAGCACTCCAGGGACATGGATCCCACCATAGCTGGTGAAATTTAAAATTCAATTGTCTTTTAAAAGAAGGTGTCAGGATTATAAACCAAGCCCTCAGTAATGGTGACCATGAAACTATGATCAATTGTAAAAACATTTCTGGTTCAATGCCCTTTATGGAAAGAATCTGCTGGCTTTGCCTGGTCTGGCCAACAATGACATATTTGACTCTTTTACGGCCATGAAATACCACTCAGTTCAGGGGCAGTTAGAGATGGACAACCAATGTTGGTCTTGCCCACAACCCATGAAAGAATAAAAAAAGCACTGAACCTTTCTTGTTCTGGTAGTTGTTATTTTTTCCCCAAATGATACTTTGAACAATTTAATGAATATAAACTAACAGTTGTATGATGAAATTTTGCCTTGAACCTACAATCATCTTATTGTATTATCAAATAACACATGACAAGGTTGCTAAATGCTCTCTCATTAGGAGCTTTCACTTGTATCTATTATTGTGTGTACCCACTACTTCAATCAACAATTAGATATGAGTTACAGTATTTGTCGAGTGATATATTTTGAGAAATGTTATTACAGTTTTATTTGTGTATATTTGCGTATTTTACAATTTTGTATTTATTGTCTAATAAAGATCTTTTTGTAAGCTTTCATGAATGGTGTCCTGGTGTTGCTGTATTGTCTCTGCACTTGGGTTTCAGTCCATCTTAAACTAATGGGAAGACGTGCTCAGATATACTTGAAGGTGGTTTTTTATTTTAGATCTACTGTTTGTTAATGGCATAAGCCGCTTATGTCGTGAGCTTGCTGATTTCCCTGGTGCCAGTGGAAATGCAGTTTTCTGTGAGCCTCAAGAGACCCTCCTGGATATTTCTGCTCAGCATCTGAGCTAGAACAAAGGGCTCTTGTGACCCTGGGGCTCAGAAAGCCTAGGTTCAAGTTCCACCGTGCCTTTAAGAAGGATTTGGTTTGTCCCGTTTCTCTTGAAGAGGGATGATGTTAATCTGATGCAAAGGTGTTCTCTCCATGGAAAGTGGAGTAAATCACTTTGTTTATTTTGAAAGATTAGACAAAAGAAGCATGAGTGGGTGGAGTCAGGCTCACTGTTACGGAGGGGAGTTCGAACCCCTCTGATAATTAAAACCGAAACACCCAGAATAGTTCACCTTGCCTCATAATCTGTTATGAAGGGGATTTTAAATGAAATGAACTCCTGACGGCACTCTATCATCAAGTAACAGATATACTCCAAAACCTTATAAACAAGTAACAATTTAGTTATTGAACTCTAACAGTGAACAAATTAACAGAACTACTAACAAACTGAACAATTCCCCCTTAACTACTAACTATTCCCTAAATAAAACAAAATTCTATTAGTATGCAGTTCCAATAAATACAATTCCCACTTATATAAACCAAACTAATATGAAAAACAATTGAAACTTAGACTCTGAAAACTGCAGTCAGGATGCGTCTTCCGGAATGCTCCGTGCCCTCTCCACTGATCTTCAGCAAGGAACGCCTTTCTCCATCAATTCTGATGTCTGAAATGCCTCTCCCTGTCGAATTCTGATGTTAGGAATATTAACTAACAGTGCCGCAGTACCTTTTAGGTGGTGCTTAATCAAAGAGCTTAAAGTTTTCTGTGATAGCCAGAGAATTACGCTTCTGATAAGTTCGCTCTCACCCTGACTTTCAAAAACCCTCTTCATATATACCCTTGAGGAACTGTCAATGTTCTTATAATAGGATTAGTTCTAGGTGACAACACCATCAGATTTAAATTCAATTGGTTTTCAGTCTCTAAGTTCCTGGTTTAAATTAATTGGCTGATATTCAAGCTAGCTGCCTTAACATCAAAACAAGCCCAGGTTTCCAACCACACAGCCAAATGATACATATGTTTCAATTTCAGAACTATCTGTACATCTGCAGCTGCTTGAAGACATTTTTGTCTCAATCTCGAGACTTAGAAAAGCACATCACCTCTTAAAGGGACTATGCTCTCCTCCCCCCTCCATCATTTTAACAAATTCTAATTTCCTGCCTTCCAATTCACAAATATTCAACACAACCTCGCAACACTCACCCAGACCCAGGGTTTCAGTTTTTGCTTTCAGTTGTTGATGTTTCACAGAATCCCTACAGTGTGGAAACAGGTCCTTCGGCCCAACAAGTCCACACCGACCCTCACAGCCTCCCACCCAGATCCATCCCCCCATAACCCACCTAATCTACACATCCCTGAACACTATGGGCAATTTAGCATGGCCAATCCACCTAGCCTGCACATCTTTGGACTGTGGGAGGAAACCGGAGCACCTGGAGGAAACCCACGCTGACACGGGGAGAATGTTGAGGGTTTTGGAGTTGAAGCTGCTTGATACAGCTCTCTCTCTTTCCCTGCTGCTGCAAAAAGCCTAAGCTCTCTCTCTGCTGCTAGATTCATTCTGTCGGTGTTCCTTCTCCTGAACTGGAGGAGATAGCAAGTGATGGAAATGTGTTTTGCTGAATTTGCCTTTGCCAAGTGTGTGTTTATGGGATGCTGATATATTGGAACAGTTGATAAATAGTAGTTAAACTATATATTATTTTGTTAAGCATTTTGATAGAGTTAAAGTTGTATCAATTCTTCTTGTGCTTGTTTGTCTTTTAACTGTGGTGTAAGGATAAAGTGTATATGGCCTAAAGCCTAGTAGTTTGACCAATCAAATCACATCTGGAATACAGTGCCTTACACTTGCCTTTAGAATCATAGAATCCCTACAGTGTGGAAACAGGCCCTTTGGCCCAACAATTCCACACTGACCCTCAGAGCATCCCACCCAGACTCATCCCCCTATAACCCAACCTAATCTACACATACCTGAACACTGTGGACAATCAACCTAACCTGCACGTCTTTGGACTGCAGGAGGAAATTGGAGCACCTGGAGGAAACCCACACAGACATGGGGAGAATGTGTGAACTCCACATAGACAGTTGCCCAAGGATGGAATTGAACCTGGGTCTCTGGTGCTGTGAGGCAGCAGTGCTAACCACTGAGCCACCATGCCACCCACTTGCTTTTAAATAAGATAAAAGTTAGGGTTTAGATTATCTCCTTGATATGTTTTGAGAGGGTTTGGTCTGGTCCATAACATCACCCGCTTAGAGGTGTGTCGTAAAATATCTGAACAGGTTGCTGCAGATGTCTAAGGTAGAACAGTCCTTGCTGAAAATCAACTTTGGCTTGGTGGGTAGCAGTGTTGTCCTTGGTATCAGAAGGTTGAGGGTTCAATTCTTTGCCCCCACTTCGCCCGCCCCCCTCCCCCCCCCGACCATAACCTCCAGGGATTTGAGTACCAAAGGTAGGATAATGTTACATTCTCAGTACTGAGGCAGTAGGCAGTGCCTTTCAGATGAAACACTATATTGAGATGCTCCCCGCTTTGATATTAAAGACCACATGTTGTGATTTCACAGTAGAGTAATGGGGTTTTTCCTGTGCCTTACAACATGAGTATTTATCCTTCAATAGTAGAAACAAACATTAATAGTGGAAAATAGATTTGATGGTCGTGGAATCTTGTTCTTAACAGTGATTACACTTCAAACATATTTCACTTATTTGTGAAAGGCTTTGGAGCTTCCTGGTGCTCAGTAAATGCAAATTATTCTGTACTAAGAATGCTTTCTCAACAGGAGCAGGCTTGGAATGGAGTCTGTACGATTGTAAATTATCTACCTCATTGGTAGTCAGCAGAATAATCCCACTTATCACAGAAAGACATAGATCATTGCTGTTTTATTCTGACATGATGATTATGTTTGATTGATGATTATGAATAGGCTGCAAGTTGATGTTACACACCACACAAAACAAAATGGAAAATGGGAACAGGAATTGGATTTTTTTTACATGAAAGCAAACTGCAAAGAATAATGCCTGTTATTAATTTTACTGATGTCACTGATTATGTTTGGGCAAATCACACATTTCTCATTAAATAGTTTTCAAATGATTTCACGGTTCTATTTTTGTGTGCAATGTGAAAGCGGCCCTTTAGAACAGTTGTCTGTAGAATTAACCCATTCTGATCCAGTTTGATCCATTTGTTCAGCGTCTCCCGAGCTCCCGAAGTTGCATCTGTGATCACACTGACTAACCGCATGAAACTTAATGCAGCAAGTTAAAACCCGACAAGTTAAAAAGCTTTTTAACATTGCAACTAATACACACCGAAATCCCTTATCCTTCCGTAATTTTCATTTCTCTATGTTGTTGTTACTAGAGGACAGAAGAGAGATCACTGGGGAGGTGATCGGTTTAAATTAGCCCAGAGTTCAGTCACTTAGCAGCTCCTGTTAATGGATGTTAGGTCCAGACTAGCCTCCCAGGATCCCATCTGGATATTTAAAGTTCAGGAATAAAAAAATGCCACTGTGTACTAAGAAACAGTTCTGTCAATACAAACAGGCAATGCTGCTAAATATAACTCTGATGTTTCACTTTCGTCAGGAATTTGTTGTGTAATTACATATGTGTATTTGTTTTACCTTGAAAAGGCTATGCTATTCTCTAAGGTTCAATGTCTGCTTTCACAGGAATGTCTCTGGTTGTTCTATCACGCACTCGGTAATGCTTTAGTTAACAGCTGTCCCCTTTGCTGTAAAGGACTGCAGTGCTGTGCACTGTCTCCTTTAACAGGAACATCTGCACTGCCAAGCACTGTTCCCTTTAGCTACAGTGATTGCAGTGCTGACAGTAAAAGTCAACAACTATACAAAGAACGGAAGTACAGTGTCAACATGAAATGTCACAATTGTGAAGTCTGTGTCAGGTTTGCACCTGATTTCCTCAAATGCTACATTCCTGAAACAGCTAAATCAAATCACAGTTGCCAGGGAAAGAACAGAAAGCCAGGCAATTCTTGGTGACTTTTGTGATCTTGACAACTTGGCCTCTCCCCAGGAACAACAACCACGGATTTAAAAGCTGCCAATCTACAAAGACAGCACTTAGTAGAGGGAAACAAAGCCTTTAATCAACTTCAGACAGACCCAGTTGGACTATGTCCCCATAGTGATTGTATTTTGTAACTTTATAAGCTTCAAATGAGCAACTATGCATCCCAGACTACTCCACACAAATATGTTTAAAGCTTTGTCATTTAGACTAGGATATTTAATTAAGATCTCTAGAGAAAATATTTTTCCCAGATATGCTTGCTATATTAATGAAAACAGACACAGTGTGAAAGTTAGTACTGCAACAACCCATTCAATAGCATCTTCCCAACATTCAACTTCTACCACCCAGAAGGAAAAGGGAAGCAGATACATGGGAACACTGAGAAGTTCCCCTCCAAGCCTCTCACTGTTCCGAGTTTGGCTGACATCACTGTTCTTTCAGTGTTGCTGGGTCAATATCTTAGAACTCCCTCCCTAACAGCTTTGTGGGTCTACCTACACCAGATGGACTGCTGTGGTTCAAGAAGGCAGCTTACCACAACCTTCTCAAGGGCATCTAGAAATCGAGCAAGAAATGCTGGCCCAGCCAGCAACATCCACATCTCATAAGCAAATTAAGAAAAACCCACATCTAGAATCTGCTGAATGTCCCAATGGTCCCCCACAGTGTGCTTGATTCTTCTATTGCAGTAACCTGAAGGCCCTAAAATGGAATCCTGACGCATTCGAAAAGCATTATTTTTCCACAAGTAAGCAACACAATGATGTAAGTGTTGAAGTGTCATGACTCTGCGTTTAGCTCAGCAGAAATGATGCATGGCTCCTCTAGTAAGTCTATGTCAAACAAAGTTTTCTTTTAAAACAAGTCAAAAATGGTGAATATGCACAGACTTTTCCCAAACGTCCCACCAAATTTGACAGGGAAATTGCCGGGATTTCTGGAGAAATGGTTATAACAGGCACCAATGTTATCTCTCAGATTTTTGACAATCTCTTGCCCAAAGATCCTGCAGAAATAGATGGAAACATTTTCCAGCTTTTCATGATGATAGTGGACTCATTTCAAAGTCTTGTGCTCGCTGAGCAAGCTGATACTTGCTTCAAGGAACCTCCTTCTCCCTAACAGAAGTGCAAAAGTCAGAATGGGGACCTCTGCCCAGGAGTAGAGAAACAACAGATTCACTGATGCTAGATGCCAGCAACTCCACTCAAACGTGCCCAATGAAGAGCAGTGGTGACCACTTTAACCAGCTTTGGAAGAGGAGCATGTGCTGTCTACCACTATACACGGGTTTGTCATTTCAAATCTGGTTAAAACACACAGCATTCTTCCAGGGGTCAACAGAGTAGATGCAGGAAGAATGCATTTTCTTGCTGAAAGGTGTCTAAAACCAGGGGATATAGTCTCAGAACAAGGAGCAGTCCATTCAGGACTGAGTTGAGCAGGAACATCTTCACTCAGAGGATGGTAAATCTTTCGAATTGTCTGTCCCTGATGATCGTGGAGGTTTAGTTGTTGAGGATGTTCAAGACTGAGATTGATAGATTTCAGTTTATTAGAAGTATCAATGAATTCCAGGGTAATTCAAAAAAAAGGTTTGAAGTAGAAGACTGGCCATTGTCTTATTGAATGCAGCAGGTTTGAAGGACAGAATGGCCTACTTCTGCTCCTATTTCTTATGTTCTCATGTTTCTATGACCAGCAGCCACTGTAGGGACTGGGGAACATTATTACAACTGGTAAGACTATTATTCCATGTATTACTTTTTCATTTCTTTATGATTTACATTCTCTTAGTTGTGGCCTTCTAACAAAAGGGAACGGTATTGTTAATTTTTAAAATGTGATGACAGGAGGAAAACTCAGTGTCTCCTTACTGTTTAATTAAAAGCGGCATTGGAGGAAAGATAATTAAAGCCTTCATAAAACCATAGGAGCAGAAGTGGGCCATTCAACTCAACCCATAGATTCTGCTCTGCCAATCAATGAGACCATGGCTGATCTGCTAATCCTCTACTCCACTTTCCTGCCTTTTCCTCATAACCTTTGATTCCTTCACTGATTAAAAATCTACCTCAGCCTTGAATATACCAATTGATCCAGGCTGAAAAGCTCTGTGCGGTAAAGAATTCCACAGACTCATCACCCTCTGAAAGAAGGAATTCCTCCTCATCTCAGTCCAAAATGTGCAGCCACTTATTCTAAGATTATGCCCTCTAGCCCTAGACTCTCCCATAAAGGGGGAGTACCTTTTCAACATCAACTCTGTTGAGTCCCCTAAGATTCGTACATATTTCAATAAGATAGTGTCTCATTCTTCAAAACTCCAAAGACTACAGGCCCATCCTCATCAACCTGTCCTCATACGACAGAGCCTCCATATCTAGGGACCATTAAATAAACATTCTCTGGACTGCCTCCAACGTCAGTATATCTTTCCTTAGTTAAGGGGCCCAAAACTGTTCACAGTATTCCAGCTGTGGTCTGACTAGTGCCTTGTATTGTTTTGGCAAGGCCTCTCTCCTTACATACTCCATTACCTTTGAAATAAAGGCCAATATTTCATTGTGTTCCTTATTACCGACTGAACTTAGATGTCATGGATGAGGACTGCCAAATCCCTCTGTTCTGTAGCTTTCTGTAGTCTTTCTCCATTTAAGTAATACTCAGCTCCTCTATTCGTACATCCAAATGCATAACCTCACATCTTCTCACATGATATTCCACCTTCATCAGACAGAAAAAAGGAGCATGGACAATTGTGCAGAGCTCTGCAGTGATTATCACTGAGGAGAAGAACATATTTTGTCTTAATTATGAAGTGCTTTTTAAACACAGCAAATTAAAGTTCCCGTTTTTATGATTTCCCTCGCCCTTTTCAAACAGTCACCTGTCTCCAAGGCATTTTTCTTGATGCACATTTGTGATTTCAATAGTCCTGTTGATGCAGAGAAGTTGGTGTTCCTCAAGCCTTTCCTTCTCCCAATGAAATAAGGGCTAATCTACAACTTAACCTCATACACCCACATATGCCCCACATTGACTTTGTAGCCCAAGAAAAACAAACTAGCAATCTTGGCACTGAAATGTATCCTTCAATTCTCTTTAGCTAATAGGGCTGTTGCCAGATGACTGAGGACTTGCAACTATTACATCCTTGTTCCAAAAAAATACACGGAATAACACCACATACCATAGGCCAGTCAGTTGGAAGATGTGGGGCAGGATGCTTTTGGAGACAGAATTCAGGACAAAATGGACAGTCTCTTAGTTAACAAAGAACAAAGAAAATTACAGTGCGGGAACAGGCCCTTCGGCCTTCCAAGCCTGCACCAACATGCTGCTTGTCACAAATAAATCCCCCTACCCTTCCCGGGACTGTATCCCTCTATTCCCATCCTATTCATATATTTGTCAAGACTCCCTTTAAAAGCCACTATAGTATCTGCTTCCACTACCTCCCCCGGCAGCGAGTTCCAGTCACCACCACCCTCTGTGTAAAAAACTTGCCTTGTACATCACCTTTAAATCTTGCCCCTCATACCTTAAACACATGGCTATTGGTAGCTGAATCTTCCTCTCTGGGAAAAAGCTTCTGACTGTCCAGTCTGTCCATGCCCTTCATAATCTTGTAGACCTCTATCAGGTCACCCCTCAACCTCCGTTGTTCCAGTGAGAACAACCCAAGTTTCGCCAACCTCTCCTCATAACTAATGCCCTCCATACCAGGTAACATCGTGGTAAATCTTTTCTGTACCCTCTCCAAAGCCACCATATCCTTCTGGTAGTGTGACGACCAGAATTGGACACAATATTCCAAATGCGGCCTAACTAAGGTTCTATAAAGCTGCAACATTACCTGCCAATTTTTAAACTCAATGCTCTGGCCGATGAAGGCAAGCATGCCATGTGCTTTGTTGACTACCTTTTCCACCTGCGTTGCTACTTTCAGTGACCTGTGTACCTGTACACCCAGATCCCTGTGAATGACATCAGGAACCCCTTTGGTTAAGGGCAATTTGTGCTTTGAGTCTTTTGCTAATCTGGCAGAAATGATTAGCAAAATTCGAAATTGCTAAAAAAGCCTAGCAGGTCCGGCACCCTTCTTGAAGGGTCACTCAACCTGAACCGTTAACTCTGATTTCTCTCCACAGATGCTGCCAGACCTGCTGAGCTTTTCCAGCAATTTCTATTTTTGTTTCTGATTTACAGTGTCCACAGTTCTTTCGGTTTTTGCTTAGAGAAATGACTGGTGAGGGTAACTTGATTAAATAGTGTCTGAAAACTTGTAAAATGTTTTTGATAAAGTAGTACATGACAGACTTTTCAGCAAAATTGATGCTGTCACAATAAAAGGAAGGGGGAGGTGGTGTAGCATGGATATAAAGTTGGCCGAGTGCCAAAAAATAAGGTGGTTGGAGAATGGTGTACAGTTGGATTTCCTTAAGGTCAGGTTGGGATTGCTGCTTTACTTGATAAATGTTAATGACCCAGACTTGTGTGTGCAGGGCACAATTTCAAAAATTCTTCCGATAACACAAAAGTTGGAAGTGTATAGTGATATATTTCATGAGGACATAGTCAAGCTGGTAGAACGCATGAATTGGCACGTGGGATTTAATGCAGAGAAATATGAATTGATCCATTTTGGTTAGAAGAATGAGGAGAAGTAACATAAGATAAAGAATGTAGTACCAAAGAGATGCAGCAACTGTGTGTAAAATTTGACAGAGGACACAAAGCAGGTGACAAAAATATTAAAATGTTTAAGGGATTCTAAAGGGAGCATAAAAAAAGGGAAATTACAAAGAATCTATAAATCTATATTTGACCTGTACATGTGTTCATTTTTCTCTTTCTGTTCCCTTAATATAATTCCCATGTTTCACTGGTTAGATACAAGTTCAATGGCAGGACAGTTGCCTATGTATTTCTTTAATAAAATTTATTTCCCTTCCATCCTTGTTCATTCAGAGCTGCTCCTCTAAACCAATTTGAAACATGAATGTCAAGGATCACATTTGATTGTAAAACTTAAGAGTTTGGTGCTCTGCTATCTATCCATTTTAGAGACTCCAATCAATCATTGGGTGTTAGACAGTTTCCAGACATCACAGCCACAGGTGGCTATCAATTACTTTTACAAATGGTTGGCTTGGCCTAGATACTATATAAATAATTTTACTTCCTGAAGCAATCATTGGGAATATATTATTGCGAAGTGAACTTCGCTTTTCACCAGTAACAGATGACTCATTTTCTAACTTTCGCATACAGATTGTATTCATCGTCACTGACATCCTGTAATTCTTCAACCTCTTCCTCTTCTTCTTCCTCTTCCTCTGACTCATCTTCCTGAAAATGGGCATGAAGAACCCTTGGTGTTGTCTCGAGCTGCAATGACATGAGGCTTTTAGTTCCTCACGAATCAGAGGGAGCAATTCCATGAAGAAACATGGATTAGAGTTTTGCATTTTATGGTGAGAGGCGTTCAGATTATAGGCACATCCCAGATTATGAATGGGTTCTGTTCCTGAGTACGTTTGTAGGTTGATTTGTATGGAAGTCAGAACAGAATACAGTAAAATATAAAACAGCTGTTCATTTGTATGAGCAAACGTTCGCATGTTGGATCATTAAAATTAAAAATGAATACAAGAGTATACAGTAACCCATTCGTAAGTATGAGTGTTCATAAATCAGACATTCATAAATCGGGGACTACCCTTCGTTTTGCACATGTATTGACGTACAAAATATGAATGTCTTCACTTAAATGACATGACAAGCATTAAAAATTAAATGATTTGATTTTTATATTCTAATATCCACATGATTTAATTCAAAAGCCAAAGATTTGCAACTGATTCTTTAAAGCTGAAGTATTGAAATTTGAAAGAGTTCAGAAAAGATTTAAACCGTAAGCCATGGGAGCAGAAATTAGGCCATTCGGCCCATCAGGTTTGCTCTGCTATTCAATCATGGCTAAGTTTCTCAACCCCAATCTCCGGCTTTCTCCCCACAGCCCTTGATCTCCTTGACAATCAAGAACCTATCTATCTCTGTCTTAAAATGTACTCAATGACCTGGCCTCCACAGCCTGTTGTGGCAGTGAATTCCATAGATTCACCACTCTCTGGCTGAAGAGGTTTCTCCTTATCTCTGTTCTAAAATGTCTTCCCTTTACTTTAAAGCTGTGCCCTCAGGTCCTAGTCTCTCCTACCAATTGAAACATCTTCCCAACATCCACTCTGTCCAGGCTGTTCAGTCTTCTGTAAGTTTCAATTAGATCCCCCCGCCTCACCCTTCTAAACTCCATAGAGTAGAGTCTCAGAGCCGTCAAACATTCCTTCTAAGTTGAGCCTTTCATTCCTGGAATCATTCTTGTGAACCTCCTGTGGACTTTCCTGAGGTATGGGGGCCAAAATTGCTCACAATGCTCTAAACGTAGTCTGACCAGAGCCTTATAAAGCCTCAGTATTACATCCTTGCTTTTATATTCTAGTCCAACTTTGTATTTGCCTTCCTAACTACTGACTCAGCCTGCAAGTTTACCTTAAGAAATTCCTGAACTAGGACTTCCAAGTCCTTTTGCACTTCAGATTTCTGAATTTTCTCTCCATTTAGAAAATAGTTTATGCCTCAATTCTTTCCACCAAAGTGCATGACCTCACATTTTCCCATGTTGTATTCCATCTACCACTTCTTCGCCCACTCTCCTAACCTGTCTAAATCCTTCTGCAGCCTCCCTGCCTCCTCAATACTATCTGTCCCTCCACCTATCTTTGTACAAAGATGCTGTTAGGGCTGGAGGGTTTGATCTGTGGGAGAGGCTGAATAGCTTGGGCCTATTTTCCCCGGAGCTTCAGAGCTTGAGGGGTGACCTTATACAGGTTTATAAAGTCATGAAGGTAAATAGCCAAGGTCTTTTCCCCAGGGTGGGCGAGACGAAAACTAGAGAGCACCGGTTTAAGGTGAGAGGGGAAAGATTTAAAAGGCACCTAAGGGGCAACGTTTTCACACAGAGGGTGGTATGAATATGAAATTAGCTGCCAGAGAAATTGGTAGAGGCTGATACAATTATAACATTTAAAAGGCATCTGGATGGGTACATGAATGGGAAGGTTTTAGAGGGATATGGGCCAAATGCTGGCAAATAGGACTAGATTAATTTAGGCTATCTGGTCAGCATAGATGAGTTGGACTGAAGGGTCTGTTTCCATGCTACACAACTCTATGGCTCCATTGGAATTCCATACACAGAGATTGGTATCCAAGAACATGTTTCAAAACGAGTTTGTGGATGATGCTAATTTGATTTTATATTGGTCAGGTTCCACTGTCAAGTGACAACGTAACAGCACTTGCAGCCAGCAAAAACTGCCCACAAAGACCTAGCGATCTCAATGGCATGGATTTCACCTTCCGTGATGCCATTGTGATTCAAGTGCCAAGGTAAGGGGATCACTGGACAAGTGATATCATCAAGCAGGTTAAACAGCCAATCACATTGAAGTAACCTCACAGACAGTAAACCAGGAAGTGAAACACAATGAGCTTTTCATTTTTAATTATAGCTTCATAAAGCCACACACGTGGGATTAAGGTAGAGACTGAAATATATTTTTAAAATAATTTTTTAAAAATGTGATTTTTTTTATCATAATGGAGAAATTTGAAATTGTATAAATATATAATATGCTTTCCAGGATCAGTGTTGCTGCTCACCAGTAACTGTGAGCATAGGATCCAATTAGAAATCCAGAAATTCAACAAGGTATAACTTTTTCAATGATTTTTCTACATGGATACAAATAATGACCAGTTCTCAATGGTTCAGTGTTTTCTACTTCATTGCAGTTTGGGTGGTGTTGCTAAGAGCGGGGATGGGGATGGGGATGGGGTGATGTGGAGGGTTAGGGGAATACGGGGGGGGGGGGGGGGGGGGGGAATGTTGTGGGAGGGTTGTGGTGTGGATGGTGGTGACTTTGATAATGTACCTCCTGGATGAACACACAATTGCTGACAGTAACACCTAGGATTTCTGTAAATAATTGTAGGTGTACAGATTCCACAGTTTGCTAGTTTCAGAGGATTAGTGACAAAAACTGCTGACAGTTTTGTCACCTTTACTATCACAAGATTTCAGCCATTATCCAAAGTGATCTTTGAATCTCCAAACTCCATTCATCTAAGACAATTCTGAGTATATGAGAACACAATCGAGGGTGATTTGTGCAGAAATTGAGAGAATCGGATACATATTTGTTCTAAGGACATGCAGATCTCTTAAAGCAGAGAGTCACTCATTTTGGCTTTAAATATTCAACACGTTTTGACACATGTGACTCTTAAAGATAGTTGGACACAGTTTCTTTGAGGAAGATTTTTATTATTAAAATGCTAGTGAGGAAAAGTTGTGAACTAATTCTGGTGCAGACTCAAACATAAATCCTCTTGTGCTGTTCAAATCTGATGAACTTAGGAACATATAAGCATGTCAATCAGGAGCAAGAGTGGGCCATTGGGAGTAGGCCTCTAGCCTGCCCTGCAATTTAGTATCATGGCAGATCTTATTGTAACCTCACATCCAGATTCATATCCGTCCCTGATAATCTTGCAACCTCTTACTTAACAGGAATCTTCCTACCTCTACCTTAAAAATATTAAAGAGTTCTGCTTCCACCACCTTTCCAGGGAAAGAGTTTCAAAGATTCATGACACTCTGTGAGAAAACAAATCACCTCATCTCTGTTTTAAATGGCAACTTCTGGTTTTCGAACAGGGACCCCTAATTCTAAATTCTCGTCACATCTATCCTGTAAAGACTATTCAGGATTTTACATCTTTCAATCAAGTCACCTTTTACTCTTCTAACCCCCAGCAGATGCAAGCTTAGTCTGTCCAATTTCTCCTCATACCACAATCCCCACATTCCCACTATTAATCTAGTAAACCTCCACTGAACACTCACCAACTTATTTACATCCTTCTTTAAATAAGATGACCAATTCCGTGCACATCAATCCAGGCGCAATTTCAACATGTATGACCGAAGCATAACCTTCCTGTATTCCATTCCCCTTGTGATAAATGATAAAATCCTATTGGCTTTCCTAATTGCTTGCTGTATCTGCATGCTAACCATTTCTGATTCATACACAAGGACACCCGGACCACTTTGCTTCTAAGAATTCTATATTCTCTCACCATTTAATTAATTTGCTTCCTTTAAATTCTTCTCACCAAAATGGGCAACTTTACTCCATTTACCACTTCTTTTTCTACTCGCTTAACCAATAATTATCTTTTTGTAACCTCCTTGTGTCCTCTTCAAAACTTAATTTCCTGCCAGTCATTTTGTTGTCTGCAAATTTGATAACTAAAAACTGCTGTCCCTTCATTTAAGTCATTTTTATAAATTATATATAGTTGAAGTCCCAACACTGATCCTGTGGCATACTACTCATTACATCTTGCCGGCCTCAAAAAGACACATTCACACCTACTCTCTGCTCTCTATTAGCCAGCCAGTCTTCCATCCATCCAATTCCTTACCCCAACACCATGAGCTTTTATTCTACACAATAACTTTTGATGCGATAACTTATTAAATGCCTTCTGGAATTCTAAGTCCAGTGCATTCCCCTTCTGTCCCCAGCACATGTTACCTCCTCAAAAAACTGTAATGTATTGGCAAAGCATAATATCCCTTTCACAAAACCATGATGACTCTGCTTGATTAACTTCAACATATCCAAGTGCCTGCTTATAACTTTTTTAATTACTTTATTAATTTTATGATTGACAATTAGTCCTTGTGATCTCTTGACATGGTTCTAATTGCCTGAGGAAACGAGAAATTTTCCAGAGTAACTTTTACCTTATTGCCATTGGACTTTTTTCTCTCTTTTCTTGCCTCTCTCAGGAGTTTACCTGGCTGGGGAAGGGAGAGAGTGAAAGATGTGTTTAGTCCTGTTGCTTCTGCTACTATGGTTTACATTAGGCTTTTCTTCCTGTGAATTTTGAATGTTTGAATGAGTCTCATTGGTTCCTTGCTGTGCCTGAACAATGATATTCCCTTGCCAGTTGGTGAACGAGGAAGGAAAGGCAGAAATATTCCAAAGTCATGTTACCTGACTTACTTGGGATTGTTCAAAGGTGGAGCTGCTGTGGGATGGCCGTGCATCATTCTCAAGTTCACTGATGGAGACTTTTGACTTAAATGCCTGTGGGACAAAATCCAAATGCAACAGGTTGAAATGAAATGAAAGCAAAGAGCTAAGAGGGGCATCGTGAAAGATTGCAGAACAGGATCAAGAGCAGATTGGCCTCCCTTTCTTCTTATGTTGACCAGTGAGATTCTCATCTACTTGCTACAAGTTGCAAGATTGAAGTACCTTTGGAAAAAGGGAGGGCAAAGAAAAAATATGAAGCAACTCACATAGTTGGTACAGCCTCTTGGATAACCGGAGTAAACACGGCAATAGTGGCCTAATGGTAGTATCACTGGACTAGTAATCCCGAGATAGTAGGAACTGCAGATGCTGGAGAATCCGAGACAACAAGGTGCAGGGCTGGATGAACACAGCAGGCCAAGCAGCATCATAGGAGCAGAAAGGCTGACGTTTCGGGCCTAGACCCTTCATCAGGAATGGGGAAGGGGAAGGGGGTTCTGAAATAAATAGGGAGAGAGGGGGAGGGGGATAGAAGATGGATAGAGGAGAGGATAGGTGGAGAGGAAACAGACAGGTCGAAGAGGCGGGGATGGAGCCAGTAAAGATGCGTGGAACAATCCCTCTTCCGTACCTACACTGGCCCTAAACCCCACCTCTTCCTCCGTTACATTGATGACTGTATCGGCGCCGCCTCGTGCTCCCAGTTCATCCACTTCACCAAAACCTTCCACCCCAACCTTAAGTTCACCTGGACCAGCTCTAATACCTCTCTCTCCTTCCTGGACCTCTCTGTCTCCATCTTGGGCAACCGCCTAGAAACCGATATCCATTTCAAGCCTACCGACTCCC